ACAGAGTCTTGCTCTGTCTCCAGGCACCAGGCTGGAGTGCAGTGGCGCGATCTCGGCTCACTGCCATCGCCGCCTCCCGGGTTCAAGCAATTCTCCTGCCTCAGCCTCCCAAGTAGTTGGGACTACAGGTGCCTGCTACCACACCCAGCTAATTTTTTGTATTTTTTTAGTAGAGACGGGGTTTCACCACGTTGGCCAGGATGGTCTCGATCTCTTGACCTTGTGATCCTTCCGCCTTGGCCTCCCAAAGTGCTGGGATTACAGGCGTCAGCCACCACACCGGGCCTATTTTTCTATATTTGAGACAGGGTCTTGCTCTGTCTCCCTGGCTGGAGTGCAGCAGCACAATCTTGGCTCACTGCAGCCTCCAATTCCCAGGCTCAAGCGATCCTCCCACCTCAGTCTCCCAAGTAGCTGGGACCACAGGCATGTGTCACCATGCCTGGCTGATTTTTTTAATTTTTAGTAGACACAGGGTTTTACTATGTTGCCCAGGTTGGTCTTGAACTCCTGGACTCGAGCAATCCTTCCGTCTCAGCCTCCCAAGGTGCTGGGATTACAGGCATGAGCCACCACACTTGGGCAGAAGCTTGAAGGTTAAAGACAGAGGTCACTACTAGGTAAGGTTTCCTGCTGAAAACATTACCTAGCAGTGATGAAGAAACTGAAGCCAAGACTGGGGCAGACGCAGGTCAGCCTCAAGCCCAAATTTCCCAATGGTCACACTTCACTCTAGAACCATCAGTGGCTCCCTATTGCCCACCAGATGCCGAAGTCCAAGTCCATGGACACTCCAGCCTCATCTCCTAGCCTCTTCCTAGCCTTACCCACAAAACAGCAAATGGCAAAGACACACAGTGCCTTTCCACCAGCACGCCTTGTGTCCAGGCTATTCCTGCCATCAGCTCCCCAGCCTGTACCTCCTTCCACCCATCCGCATCCTTCCAGTTCTCCAGGATCATCGGCCCCTGCTCTAGAAACTTCCCTAACTCTGTTCAACCCCCTTCCCACTTCACTGTTGCTCCCTCCCGATCACCAAGAATATATTTTCTCTCTTTCTTTTATTTTATTTTGAGACAGGGTCTCACTGTGTCACCCAGGCTGGAGTACAGTGGTGTGATCTTGGCTCACTACAACCTCTGCCTCCCAGACTCACGCGATCCTCCCACCTCAGCCTCCCAAGTAGCTGGGACCACAGGTGCACACCACCACGCCTGGCTGATTTTTTGTATTTTTAGTAGAGACGGGGTCTTGCCATGTTGTCCAGGCTGGTCTCAAACTCCTGGGCTCGGGTGATCGGCCATCTCAGTCTCCCCAAGTGTTTGGATTACAGGCGTGAGCCACCGCGCCCCACCCACAGTTTCCCTCTTCATGTGTTTGGAATCATACTTTCACAGTTCAAGTGTCCAATCTCCTTATATGTACAAGGTCGCTTTGGGTTGGTGACTTCACCTCTCTGGCCTCAGTTTTCTTCCTTGTGTGACAAGTGGGGACAAGAACAGCACCCAACTCCCAAGGGTCTTGGGATGGGGCTGGCACAGCGCTGGCCCCAGGAGGTCCTCGGGTGAGGCTGCACCAGGCACCACCGCCCAGACCAGCATCTGGGGCTGACTCAGAGCCAAATGCTGGCCCTTTTCCCAGACCTGGCACACCCCCAGCGGCGTCTGCCTCCCTTGGACTGGGCTGGCAGCCGAGGGTCCTAGGAGGGGCTGTCTCAGGTCTATCTCTCCCACCAGAACTTCCAGACTTCAGACTTGCCTCCGTGCCAGCCGGAGTAGGGGCTTTGTTTTTGAGACAGGGTCTTGCTTGTCACCCAGGCTGGAGTGCAGTGGTGCAAACTCACTGCAGCCTCCACCTTCCGGGTTCAAGTGATTCTCGTGCCTTAGCCTCCCGAGTAGCTGGGACTACAGGCGCACGCCACTATGCCCGGCTAAGCTTTGTATTTTTAGCAGAGATGGGGTTTTGCCATGCTGGCCAGGCTGGTCTCCAACTCCTGACCTCAGGTGCTCTGCCCCAGTTGGCCTCCCAAAGCGCTGGGATGACAGGCGTGACCCACCGCACCCGGCCAAGAGTGTGGTCTTTGTAACAGGGCTTGTTTATATCCCTCTTCTGCTCACACTTCCCCCATGGCTCCCTAGTACCCTCTATGCCTTGGCCCTGCCCTGGCGTGATGAGATGGGGGCATCCCTGTCTGGCTTAATCTCCCCTGATGAGAGCCGCCTTTGAGACAGCGCCCAGTGTCACCCAGCAAAGAACCAGGCATCTGTGGCGGCTTCAATACCAACAACTGATGAAAAGAAACCTTGCCAATGACAGATGTCACGGGAGGCCTCCCTGAGTCTGGGGGTTGCGTGGGGTGCGTGCGGTAGGAGTGGCAGTACAGGAATTTCATTCCTTTTTCCCAGATGGGGAAACGGAGGTTCAGGCTGACAAAGCTCTTTTCTCAAGCGCTCCCAGCAGAGCCCAGTTCGACTCCTGAACTCAAAGCTCTTAACCATTCTCTACCAGGATATCTTTGGGTGGGGTGGGGAAATCGGGGGCGGTTTCTATTTTCTCTCTGCTGATCTGAATTTTCTGCAGCAAGCCCCGCACACCTCACGCAATTAAAAAGGATTTAAAATAAAGGTAGGTTCCACTGTCGGGGTTCCAACATGTGGGTGACTTCTGATCCTCAAACGGTCACCTCCGTTACACAGCAGTACTAACAGGAGCTCAGAGATGCAGCCCTTGCTGGGGTCACACAGCCTTTCAGGGGGAAATGGAGGAGTCTGACCTTCGGAGAGAGGGCGGAGGTCACACCCCTCCAGGTGGCAAGGGAGTGCGGCCCCTTTAAGAAAGCAAGTGCCAGGAAGAGGAGCCCCAGCTGGGGAGGGAGCAAGGGCAGGAGGTGGGGCTTGTTGCCAGGGGCAACCAGTCACCTAGCAACAAGCTTCCTAGCTGCAAGCTCAGGGACCAAAACTGGGGAAGGGGCTTTCTGCCCTGGTTCTTCCCTGACTCCTGGGCTCTCCCCTGTTCGCCCATCCTTTGTGGTACCCCGTTATCCTGGCTCCGCAGGAGGAGTCCCTGTTTCCTCGACTTGCCACTCAATGTCACACTTCTCGTCTTTTGCCCAGGCTGTCCCACAGCACACACGACTCTGTTGTGTCCTGGTTCCCACTAGACCCCCTCCACCCCCTCCCTCAACAAGGCTGGGTCCAGCCCTGGTCCTGCAGGGCTGGATGTGTCTAAACTGGCTCTGGGTCCGCGAGGCTGGGGACTCCTCCCTTGGGGCTGGGGCTGGGATGGATTCTCTTGGAGGCCCCAGCCTCTCCTAGGGAGAGCTGGGGGTGAGGTCACAGTGGCAGGGAGGGAGGAAATGAATGAATGAAAACAAATCTGCCTCACTCAGCACCCCTTGGGCTACAGTAGGTGATCTCCAACCTAGACAGTGGAGGGGTGCACAGGCCATGGTTGGCTAGGTCAGGAAAACCCCCCAATTCTCCAGGATGGGAAGGGGGTGGAAATTCCCTGGCTGGAATGACCCTGAGTCCTGGAAGTTCAGTTTGTCCCTAGGTTTGAGCGCTGACGCTGCACTTTTTCATGGGGCAGCTTCAGGTAAGACGTTCCCACTCTGGGCCTTGGTCTCCCTATGACACAAGCTATGACTTGCCCAAGGTCGTAAGGCCTGTGAGGTCTGGGGTGGGTGTGGATTCAAACCCAGCCGGACTCTGCCCACGTTAACTTCCACCCCTTGCAGACCCTCCTGTCCAAGACTCTACCCACAATTCACCCGTCCCCCCATGTCCATAAAAGTCTCTGAAGCCCTACCAGGATCCCCCACCAAAATAAGAGTAGGTCTTACCCAAAAATGCTCCCCAAAATACGACATCCTGATGATCTCTGTGGAGACCCCCGCAGGCGTCGTCCAGTGCCTGTCTAAAGAGAGAGGCAAGTTTGACCTACAGAGTCATTGTCAGTGTGGGCCTGATGAGGGGGAAAGTCCCTCCCTGTAGAGGAGGGAGAGAAAGGATGAAGGAGGAACTGAAAGCCCCATTGCTAAGACCATGCCAGGACCCCTGAGATAATTCCGCCCTGGTGCTGGTCCCAAGTAACTCCAGTATAGGGGGCAGAACAAGACACAGATGCCCTTAGTTCCACAGAGTCAGGACTGGACTAGGTGGAGGGACAAGAGCTGAGGGAGTCTAGATTGGAGGAGGGGCCATGGAATGTGGGGTTTTAAGGTATGTATAAGAGTTCACAGCAATGGGTAGGAGCAGTGCTGGATGACCGCCAACCTTGGCAGGAAAGCTCTGAGCCACTTCACAGATGGGAAAACTGAGCCCTCCCTGCCTCCAGAGGGGAAGCCACTTGCCAAGATCACACAGCTAGGAAGTGACAGTAGATTTGCACTCTGGACTGTCCAAGCGCAGACCTGAGCTCTCAGCTCCACTCCAGGCGGCTCCTGTAGGAAAAGGATTTGAAGAAAAACAGATGTAGGGGCTGCGATCAGACACATGGGGGTTGGGGTCCCTGAAGTGTCCCTGAGGGTCCCTTGGGGGTCTTCTGAATTCCTCTACAACAGTCCCCACCTTATGTACCCTCTTGGGAGTCAGAGCTCACCCCTCATTGTGATGCCCCAGCTGGCACTGGTGACCCCATGAGTCCCAACCCGGCCCTCGAAAACCAGTGTTCACCTGGTGTCTGAATCACTGTCCAGCTCTGTGCCTCAGTTTCCCCATCTGCAAAATAAGAAGGAATGCTTAGAAGGGATCTTGCTGGGGAACCTCAGGTGTCTGCACAAAAGGCTGGGTCAGGCCGCCCGGCAGGGGACGAACAGGCAGTGTCCTTGGCATGTGCTAGAGGCCAGGCTTGTTACTGGAGCCTGGGGGCCTCATTCATAATTCATGACCCAGCAGGCAGCTCGGTAGCAGCTGGGAGCCTAAGAGGCACAGTGGCAAGAGAGACAGGGACCGGTGACCTCAGGATTAGGAGGCGCCCAGGGTCTCCCCAGGAAAGGACTGAGCAAGACCTTGGGCAAGGCTGCCCCTCTAGCACCTCAGTTTAGCTCATCTTGAAAGTTAGTTTAGGCCGGGCACAGTGGCTCACGCCTGTAATCCCAGCACTTTGGGAGGCCAAGGTGGGCGGATCACTTGAGGTCAGGAGTTCGAGACCAGCCTGGCCAATGTGGTGAAACCCCGTCTCTACTAAAAATACAAAAATTAGCTGGGCGTGGTGGTGCATGCATGTAATCCCAGCTACTCAGGAGGCTGAGGCAGGAGAATCGCTTGAACCCAGGAGGCGAAGGTTGCAGTGAGCTGAGATGGCACTACTGCATTCCAGCCTGGTAACAGAGCCAGACTCTGTCTAAGAAAGGAAAGAAAGAAGAAAAGAAAAGGAAAGGAAAGGAAAGGAAGGAAGGAAGGAAGGAAGGAAGGAAGGAAGGAAGGAAGGAAGGAAGGAAGGAAGGAAGGAAAGATAGTTTAATTGGACCCAGTATCATTCACCCTCCAGTCCTGGGACTTCTCTGAGTAAGACCTCCTGTGCGCTCACCCTGGATAGCACAATGTCAGGGTCCCTGAGTTGATTCAGCCCTGGGCCTGGCCCTGCAGGAGTCCCCAGTCTAGAGGGACAGAGCTGGACACAGCTACCCCCGTCCTGCATGGACAGGGCTGAGCCAGATGGAGGGACAAGGTCCAGAAGAGCCTAGACTAAAGGAAGGTTCATGGGAGTTGGGGGTTTTAAAGGATGAATAGGAGCTCGCTGGGCAAAAAATTATTTGTTTCAACAAACATTCCTAACCTTGCACTGGTTAATGAGGGGCCCCGGAAAAACTTCAGCCCCTACTGTGGCCCCTTAGGAAACCTAATTTGGTGGCAGGGGTAGGGTGGTGAGCATGCTAAACTGACATCCCCATGGGAAACGCTCTAAATTCCCGTATCATGTCTTAGCTTCTATCCATGACCGGGACCCTAAACATCTCCCCATCCCTTAGAGCTGTGCTGACTGGCAGGAACCACTAGCCTCAAATGGTGACTTAACTGTTTTTTCTTTTTTTTTTTTTTCGGAGACAGGGTCTTGCAGTGTTGCCCAGGGCTGGAGTGCAGTGGTGTGATCATTCCTCACTGCAGCCTCGACTTCCCGTGGGAGCCATGAATAGCAACCTCCTGAGTAGCTGAGACTACAGGCATGAGCCATCACACCCAGAAAATTTTTGTATTTTTTTTTTTTTTTTGAGACAGGGTCTTGCTCTGTCACCCAGGCTGGAGTGCAGTGGCGCGATCATAGCTCACTGCAGCCTCAACTTCCCAGGTTCAAGTGATCCCCCCATCTCAGCCACCTGAGTAGCTAGGACTTCATGACCAATTAATTTTTTTTTAATGTTTTTTTTTTTTTGTAGAAACCAGGTCTCAGTAGCATTGCCTAGGCTGGTCTCAAACGCCTGCACTCAAGCGATCCTCCCGCCTGGGCCTCCCAAAATGCTGGAATTACAGCTGTGAGCCACCACCCCTGGTCTTAATTCTTGTATTAATGATTTGTATGTTTGTTGTTGTTTTTTTTGAGATGGAGTTTCGCTCTTGTTGGCTAGGCTGCAGTGCAGTGGCGAGATCTCGGCTCCCTGCAACCTCCGCCTCCCCTGCCTCAGCCTCCCAAGTATCTGCTGATACAAGCATGCACTGCCACGTCTGGCTAGTTTTGTGTTTTTATTAGAGATGGGGTTTCTCCATGTTGGTCAGGCTGGTCTCACTCCCGACCTCAGGTGACCCACCTGCCTCCACCTCCCAAAGTGCTGGTATTGCAGGCGTGAGCCACCGCGGCTGGCTTATATTAATGTTAAACCAAGTAAAATTAAATACAATTGGCTGGACACGGTGGCTCACACCTGTAATCCCAGGACTTTGGAAGGCCGAGGTGGGCGGATCACTTGAGGTCAGGAGTTCGAGACCAGCCTGGCCAACATGGCAAAACTCCATCTCTACCAAAAAATACAAAAATCAGCCGGGTGTGGTGGTGCATGCCTGTAGTCCCGGCTACTTGGGAGGCTGAGGCACAAGAATCGCTCAAAGCTTGGAGGCGGAGGTTGTAGTGAGTTGAGATCATGCCACTGCATTCCAGCCTGGGTGACGGAGTGAGACCCCGTCCCTCTCTCTCTCTCTCACACACACACACACACACACACACACCCCAAAATTAAATACAATTACATGCCCAACTCCTCACCTGCACCAGCCTCCCTTCCAAGGCTCAGAAGCTACATGACTCTGGTGACTGCTGTATTGGATGGCTCAGATGAGAAAGTCCTGTGACCAACATTGTTCTAGAAGATCCCAGGAGCCACAGAGCCCAAGTTCCCCAGAAACCAAGAATCTCACTACTGTTTTTACAGTTTCAATGAGATTGCTTCACCCACCCCACCCCTGGCAAACAGATACACACGGAGCACCAGTACGCGTGCGACCCTCTACCCAACTATTCACACACATCTGTTCAGCCAACCTTCATGCCATGCCCTGAGGTGCAATCTCAATGCTACGAGGGAAACTGAGGCACAGGGAGGTCAGTCATTGGTCCCGGCTGACTGTGATGTTGCCCCTGGTCTCTCTGCCAGTGACCTCCTGTTTGAAATCATCACGCGTGGCTCTCTGGGTTTCCATGCCCCCCCTGCTGCCCTGCCCCAACCCAAACCACCACTCACAGCTGGAATGGGGGGCGGGGGACAGGGCAACGGGTAGCCCCACGCAGGCCTTGGCCTTGGCCAGCCCAGGAAGTGACACCTGCCACTTCTCCGGAAACCCGGGCCCCGAGCAGAGGGGCCTCCCTTCTGGTCCTGAGCGGAGGGGGCAAGGAGAGGTGATGGGTATCTACCGGCCAGGGTTCAAACTCACCGGACAGGGTAGCGCATGGGATGGGGCCCCCGTCCGATGAGGCAGGCGCCAGGAGACGGCCACAAGGCTACTTCCGTCAGCACCAAGTTGGAGGCTTGTGTGCATGGGGGGGACAGGAAGCTCACCCCGCCCCGCCTACCGTCTAACAGCCACCTTACCTCCCCCGCCCGATTGGCACCCATGAGACCTCCCTGGAACCACATAGGCCATGGGCGAGTAAACAGACGCCTGAACCTGGGCCCCCCAGCCTGAACCTAGAGCTGTTCTTACCGAACAAATAATAATCACGAAAACAACTGGGAACTAGCTGTGCACCTACCCTGGCCCAGACATTCAACATCTCGCCATCCTGATGTGCAACGATACCCACTTCACAGACAGGGTAAACTGAGGCTCAGAGAGGGAAACACGCTCAGAAAGGGGAAGACATTTTTGTATTCATGGGCCCTTTCCTTCACTACAAAAGGAATTTAAAATTATATTTTAGGCCGGCATGTTGGCTCATGCCTGGAATCCCAACACTTTGGGAGGCCGAGGCAGATGGATCACTTGAGCCCAGGGGTTCAAGAACAGCCTGGGCAACATGGTGAAACTCTGATTCTATTAAAAATACAAAAGTTAGCTGGGTGTGGTGGCACATGCCTGTAATCCCAGCCACTTGGGAGGCTGAGGCAGGAGAATTGCTTGAACCCGGGAGGCAGAGGTTGCAGTGAGCTGAGATCATACCACTGTACTCCAGCCTGGGCAACAGAGTGAGACTCTCTCGAAAAAACAAAACAAAACAAAACTATATTTTACTACTGCATTGGCATAAAGACAAATATATTAATGTTATACACAAAAGTGCTTCCTTCAACCCGAAAGTTCATTCTTTTCTCCTTCTGATTTTAAAAGCAGTGAAAACATCACCCTGGGTGCCCCTAAAAGCACTGTGAGCCTGAGACTTGGGCTTGTCGGGTCTGCTGGAGTCAGCTCTGCTAGAATCCAAGTCTCCCAGCTTGTACAGCGCCAGCACAAAGCCCAGAGAGGGCTAGAGACTTACCCAAGGTCACACAGCACACTGCCAGCTGACTCAGGGCCCCATCCTGCCTTCAAGGCACCAAGCCTTGCAAACCTGAGGCTGAGACGTGTGAGCAGCCCCGGAACAGATAAAACAAAGCAGGAACCACATCAGCAACAAAGGCAAGACCTGAGCTCCCACCCTGGGAATCGGGTGGTGCCTGGCTGGCCATCCGGAGCTGCTGACTTCTTGCCGATGACCTTGGACCACTCCTGACCTTCCAGGATCTGGCTTCCAGGATCCTGGGAGACAGGATCTGGCATTTTCCTCTCTCTTGGGCCCCAGTGTGCGCCCAGCAGGGCCAGGAGCAAGGGTTTTCTCATCCTTCCCACTGACCGGCCACTTGGTTCAAGTGGGTACCATGCTGTTTCAATGACCTACAACGTCACGCCTCCCCCTTGACCAAGCCACCTGGGCTGCGATCACTTAACACAATCTGGCTTGATTCTCGCCACCCCATCTCGAGGCAGTCTTATCTTGACCAGCACCACAATGGGGAAACTGAGGCACATGCCCCAGGTCACACAGCGACTCCGGCCACCAAATGGGAATCTGAGCCAGGGATTCTCAGGAATTTTCTGCCCTCCCCGCGAGTCCCCTCCCTCTTCCTCACTTCATTTGGCAAACATCTATTGTGTGCCGACTGTGTACCTACATTTCCCAGATGCTGGAGTCTCCTCAGGCAACATCCTTGGCAGACTCCCCCTTCCCTGCCCTCCTCCTGCTCAGCAGTGACCCCATTTAATAAGCACGGCTAATATTGTCATTAATATTATAATGATCATGTCTGTACTTACAGAGCTCGCCTCCTCCCACAGACTCCTCTGATCTTCCCAGAGGAATTCAGCCCATTTCACAGAAGAACAGACCAAGACACCAGGGGAACACACACACACAGGCAGAGGCAAATTCACATCTGGGGGTGTCAGACTCCCAGCCCTGTGCCCACCACTGGGAGGGTGCTCCAAGGGACAGGGAGCAACTCCAAGGGACAGAGCTGGCCGAGCAACTCCCACCTCCTCCTGCCCAGGACCCCGCCCAAGAACAGCTTCACCCCTGGCGTGGGTGACGGTATGTGGGTCAGGGTGTGCCCTAGGTGGCCCCACTGGTGAGGCCAGGGTAGCTAAGCCCCATCCCGACGATTGCAGCTCAGTCCTATGTTTCACTCCCTGCCCCTATGCCCCCAGCCTGAATATCAGTGTCATCATCAACCCATTTTGCAGTGCAGTAAACTGAGGCTCAGAAAATAGCAAGGCACTGTGGGAGGGTCCTCAACCCAATGCTCTCTGGACCCCAAACCACCCGCATGTTAAGCAGAAGAGTGAATCACCATTGGACAAAAGGTGGGCTGGGTGAGTTCAGAATCTGCAAAATGCAGGGTCCGGAGCTCCCAATCTCGATTTTCAAAATAGGAAACGGAGGTTCAGAAAGGTGCTGTCACCTGCCCAAGGTCACCAGTGAGGCAGGTCCATTCGATACTGCCTCCTGGTCCCCAATGCGGCCGGGGCAGGTGACTTGGGGGATCCAAGGCAGATGGAGGGCCCCCACCCCCCAAGCCTCCTCCGCACCCCACTCACAGCCAGCCTCTGGCAAGATCCTAATTTACCTCGATTTATTTTAATCCCCAGGAACAGATGCTAGCTGTACACCCCCCCCCCAGTAAGAGAGGGACCCCCCCCAAGTCCAGGCTCCAGGCCCTTTGAGGCCTGGTCTGGCTAATCCGTGCCAGGCAGGGGACCCCATGCTGACCTCCTCCCCAAAATTCCAACCTCGGGGTCCCCACAGAACATGCCAGTAAACGCCCCCTACCCCATCCTTGAGGTGGGGGGCTGGGATGGGGCAGATTAGAGGGGCCGGGGACCCCCCAGCTCCTCCAGCCACCAGGCCTGGAGGAAAAGAGAAGTGGGTCCCTCATCTCGGTCCCCGGGGGTCTGCAGGCCGGAGCTGTGAAGAAGGAATTTAGGGGTGGTCTCCACCTCAGCAGCCGCCCAGCGTTCCAGGCTGGAAGGGGAGCAGCGCCCCCACCTTTGCAGCCCCAGAACCCAGACTTAGGCTTAGAATAAAAGGATTTGGGGAGGGGTCTCGCGTCGTCACCACCGCCCCCGTGCACTCTCCGTTCTAGGCCAGGAGACAGGGGATTTGGGGAGCTGTCCCCATTTCCGCCTGTGGACCCCCGATTACCACTGGTGGGGGGAAGCCGGGGCACCCACCGCGTACCCCCACCCCCTGCTCTCCATCCCTCCAGTCCCGCCGCGCCTTTGCCCACCGCAGCCTCCGGGGCTGCAGCGCACGGTGCGCGTGGGAGGCTGCGAGGGCCAGGATGCCCCACGGGGGTCCGGGGGGCAGCACTCACCTCCCGAGCTCGGGCCGAGCCCCGCGCTCGCCGCCACCTGCGGCTTGGTCGCTGACACCCGAGCCCGCCCCGCCCCTCCCTCCGAGGCTGCGGCGCGGCTGCCGGCTGGCTCCGCCCCCGGGGCGTGGCCGAGAAAGTCCCCACCCCAGTGACGACGCCGGTAGGCGGAGGCGGGCTCTGATCCCGCGCGGTCCGCCATTGGGCCATTTAGGCGGCCAGCTCCGCCAATCCAGCGCGCTGATTGGCCCAGCCGTAGATCAGGGGCCTTTTTATATTCCCCCTACGCCACCCGCAGTCTATTTGCATAATTTAAAGAGACAGGCGCCACTCTTTCCTCCTGAGACTCGGTGATAAGGGGTAAGGAGCGACCAACATTTATTGAGCGCCCAGACAGGGCTCATTTGATGACTCCCCCTACAAGCCTGTGAGCGGAACATTATTGGTCTTTATTTTACAGATGGGAAATCTCAGGCTCAGAGAGGGCTAGGTCTTGCTTGTAGGCCACACAGCAAGTCTGCCGGCCGGCCTAGGGCAGTCTCGGAATCCGGCCACTTGCAGAGGAGGTCATTCCCTCAATCGGCCATATGACAGTTCTTTTTTTGTTGTTTGAGACAATAGTTTCGCTCTTGTCGCCCAGGCTGGAGTGCAATGGCGCGATCTCGGCTCACTGCAACCTCAGCCCCTCGGGTTCAAGCGATTCTCCTGCCTCAGTCTCCTGCGTAGCTGGGATTACAGGCGCCCGGCACCACCCTAGGCTAATTGTTTGTATTTTTGATAGAGACAGGGTGTCAACATGTTGGCCAGGCTGGTCTCGAACTCCTGACCTCAGGTGATCTGCCTCCCTCGGCCTCCCAAAGTGCTGGGATTACAGGTGTGAGCCACGGCGCCCGGCGCATATGACAGTTCTGAGAAGCTGCCATCCCCGTCCCCGTTACCTGAGCCCTAATGAAGCTTACACAACGCCGGGCACGATGGTTTATGCCTGTAATCCCAGCACTTTGGGCAGACGAGGCAAGTGGATCCCTTGAAGCCAGGAGTTCGAGATCAGCCTGGTCAGTGTGGCAAAACCCTGTCTCTACTAAAAATACAAAAAAAAAAAAAAAAAAAAAAAAAAAAAAAAAAAAAAAAAAGCCGGTGTGGTGGTGAGCACCTGTAATCCCAGCACATTTGGAGGCCAAGGCAGATGGATCACTTGAGGTCAGGAGTTTGAGACCAGCCTGGTCAACATGATGAAACTCTGTCTCTACTAAAAATACAAAAAAATTAGCTGGGCGTGGTGACGCACACCTGTAATCCCAGCTACTTGGGAGGCTGAGGCAGGAGAATCGCTTGAGCTGGGGAAGTGGACGTTGCAGTGAGTCAAGATCGCGCCACCTACTGCACTCCAGCCCGGGCGACACAGCGAGACTCCGTCTCAAAAAAAAAGAAAAAGAAAAAGAAAACAGAAACTTACACAACACCCGCCAGTCCCCCATTCAACCCTCCACCTAGGGACAGGGCACCCAGCTGATCACCTCTTGCCCCTCAACCAGCCTCCCAGGCTCAGTCAGGGCAGTCAGGAGCACGGACCAGAAGCTTGGGAGGCCTTGAGGATCTTCTCTTCCCTTCATCACCAGCATTTCATCCTGCGGATTCAGTGTCTCTGAAACAGTTCCAAATTGTCCATTTTCCTACACCCCACAGGGGTCTGGGCAAAGACTCAATTGTGTTCAGTCTGGAAGCTGCCTCAGTTTCCTATTTGTGTTTCTCATTCCGTCCATCCCAGCCCTAGACAATCCCTGTTCTCCAAGGCAACTATCACTTTCTTTCTTTTATTTATTTCTTTCTTTTTTAGAGATGGGGTCTTGCTC